CCCCGTCGCATGTGAATATGGGCGGTCTTTGCGCGGTGGCTTGCGCACATGGGGGGCGATCGCGCGGACTGGACGTTGTCCATGCCCTGGCTGTTATCTGGCCTGGCTCTGCGTTTTTGCGCGCGCGCGCGCGCACGGACATACCCGTCCCCCGGAGACGGTGTTGGCCGCTCGCCTGCTGTCCGCGCCTGCGCCTGCCCCGGGCTGCTCCCGTTTGCCCACTGCCAGCCCCGGGCCGGCGCGGATGACAGCCCGAGCCCCAGGAGGCCCCGGCTGCCGGGGCGATTCATGGCCCGGCGGGCCGGGCGCCGGCCGCCACCCGGTCGACGCATGCTGGCCCTCCTGCGATCCCCTCCCCGACCGCGTCCCCCCCCGCCCCCCCCCCCTCGCTCCTTTTTCCCTCCATCCTCCCTCCCCCATCGCTCCCCCTCCCCCACTCGCTCCCGCTCCTCGCGTGCCCCCACCCCACCCCCACCCCCACCCCTCCGCCAGCAACGGATCGCCCTCTGCCATGGGCATCGTCAATCTCAGCAGCCGCGGCGCGGCGCCAGAGCCGGAAGACAACGACCCGGCCTACGCCTACAGCATGCTGACCGACCCGCTGGCCACGCCGGCGCCCTACACAAGCGGCGACACCGATGCCACGTCGCACACGGCCAGCCTGGTCCGGCACTGGACGCAGTCCCGGGCATCTGGCGGCCGGGCCCTCGGGTCGGCCACCAGCGCGGCCGAGGTGGTGGCGGCCCTGGGCGGCCGTGGTCTGGCGGTGTGCGATTGCGGCCGGTCGGCCGGGGCCGGTGCGCCGAGCGGCGCGGCCGGCACGCCGGAGGTGCTGGTGACCCGGCGAACGGCCCTGGTGACCGGTGTGTCGCTGCAGTCCGGCATCGGGGCGGACACGGCCGTGGCCCTGGCCCTGGCCGGGTATGTGACCGTGTGCACCTCGTATGAGACCCTGTCGGTGGCCGGGGGCGAGGTGGCCACCGCGGCCGCGGCGGCCGCCATCGACACGGCGGCCCTGGACAGCGCGTCCCCCTCGCCGAGTGTGTCGCCTCGGCTTCGGCCGGTGGCCGGCCCCGAGCCGGTGGACCCGGTGGCCGGGGCCGCCGATGGGTTTGGCCCGGTGGCGGCCGAAATGGCCCCCGGGTCCGAGGCGGCCCCATCGCCGGCGCCGGGCGACGACCAGCTGCCGGACCATGTCCGCCTGCAGATCCCCCCCCGGTCGGTGACGCACATGCGCCGGCTGGTGGCGGCGCTGGCCGAGAGGACCGGCACCGAGGCGGCCGGTGTCCTGGCAACCGTGGCCGCGGGGGCCGGCGTGGATGCCGGGCGCGCCGCGGGCTTCCGCTTTGCCGGGCTCGGGTCGGCCTCCGGGGCGCCGTGCGATTGCGCCTCGCTGACGCACCGCCATGAGGCCTGGCTGCGGTATTTGACGCTGCTGGCCGATCCCGGGGCCGGGGACTGGCTGCGGGCCCCGGCGGCCCGGTGCTTCGAGTTGCTGCCGCTGAATCTCGGCTCGCTGGCCAGTGTCACCGCCTGCGTGGGGCTCTTCCTGACCCGGGTCTTGAGCCCGCTGCCCCTGGGGCCGGGGTTGGCCGCGCCCGGGCCCACCGATCCCGATGGCAGCCAGCTGCCGGAGCACCTGTCCCGGCGGGACCCGATTGTCCCGGTGCCGCGGAGCGCCGGCGGCCCGGCGGCCATGACCGCGGCGCCGCCCCGGCCGCTGCATGTGCTTGTGCTGAATGCCGGCATGATGAACATCCCCTACAGCACGACGGTCGATGGGATCGAGCGCCAGATGGGCGTCAACCATGTTGGCCATACGTACCTGACGCACCTGCTCCACCGGTCGCTGCTGGCCGGGGCGGAGGAGCTCCGATCGCCGGTGCACTCGTCCTCGGCCGCCGATGCCGGCGTGGCCGGGCCCGCCGGGGGCCACTCGGCCGGGCTCGACACCGCCGCCGGGGATGCCCCCGGGGCCGGGGCCGGGGCCGGGGCCGGGGCCACCCCGCGGCATGACTACGCCCGCGTGGTGACCCTGTCGTCCATCGCCCACCGCCTGGCCCCGCTTGGCATCGATGTCGACACGCTGGCCATGCGCTCGCATCCCTGGAAGTATGTGCGCTACATCCGGTACTCCGAGTCCAAGCTGGCGCAGCTGCTCTTCGCCAAGGTGCGCTCTGGCGGTGTCCTCCGCCTGTCGGTTGCCCCCGGCATCGACTTCCGCCGCCGCCTTTTTCCCTTTCCGTGCTCTCCTCCGCCCTCCGCCCGCCCTCCCTCGCCCGCAGTCTGCCCATGGTGGTGCTGACATTCGTGCATGACCCCCCCCCCTCCCCCCCGTTCGCAGGAGATCACCAACCGCTACCTGGCAGATGGGATTGTCGGCCTGGCGGTGCATCCCGGCGTGGTACACAGCACCGGGCTCGGGGCCTTCGACCCGCTGTCGCGCATGCTCTACCTCTTTGGCTGGCCCTTCATGAAGACCCCGGCCCAGGGGGCAGCTACCAGTGTCTTCTGCTCGCTGGCCCCGGTCCGGGGGAGCCTGCTGGCGGCGCAGCTGGCCACGGCCACTTCCTGGCACACGGGGACCCCGCTGCAAGTGCGCCCCCTCCGGCCGGGGGGGTACTTCGCGGACTGCGCCCAGGAGGAGCCCAGCGGAGCCGGGCGCGACCCGCTGGCCGGGCGATCCCTCTGGCGTGCCACCAACCAGCTGATCCTGGAGATCCTTGAAGGCCTGCAGCGGGCCGAGGCCGAGGAGCAGGAGGAGCCCGCCGACGGGGGGCAGCACCAGGCCGTCAAGCTCGAGCCCGGGGAGGAGGACGAGCAGGCCGATCGCCCTGCCTCGCCGGGGGCCGGCGGGTCTGGCAGCCGGCCGACCAAGCCCGGGGCCCACCCGACACGTGAGTCGCTCTTCTCGCTGTTTTCCGTGTCGCGGATCTTCAAGATGGACCTGGAGAGCCTGCAGCTCCCCTTCGTCGAGAGCCAGTAGGCCGGCCGATCTGCTGCCGCTCTGGCGGAATGTCATTCAATAGACCAACACGCACATGCTGGAGCGCGTGCTGGCATGGCAGATTCGCCGGGTTGTGTGCTCCCATGTCCCCGCGCAGGGGCGGAGAACTCCGGCGGGCGGCGGTGCGGGCGGCGGTCGGGGGCCTTTGGCGCGGGCACACCACACGCGCAGGCGACGGCATGCCCTCCGGCCTCGGCCATCGGGCCGCTCCTGCGTGTATATGTGGGCAGATTAATATTTTTACACCCATATCCTGAGGGGGATGGTGCGTGAGGGGGACGGCCGGGAGCACATGGACGGGGGCCGGGCGTCGCAGATAACACGCGAGTGTGGCTGTGTGTGCGCGAGGGGGGGGGGGGGGGGGGGGGGGGGGATCCTGGGGGCCCTCTCCCGCGGGTTCGAGGGCTCTCTTGGGCTGCCTGCCCGGGGGGTCGGTCCGGGGGACCCGCATGCAGCCTTCCCTCCGTCCCCTCGCGTCCTTCTCCCCCTCCCGCCTCGCTCTCCTCCCCTCCCTCCCCCGGCCCCCGCGTTCCCCTTCCCGCTCCCTCCCCGCCGTCCTCCTGCGCCCGTCCCCCGAGGGGGCCCCCCCCCCCCCCCCAAATGGGCCCGGAGAACACGCCGCAATGCGTGGCAAGGGTCGGAACCGCCAGCCAGCTGGTGCGCGTCCGGATTCGGTCGCGCGCGCGGGAG